ATTTAAAATACAAATAAAATCCAATGTATTATCTCAATTGATCTTGGTATTTTAGACTGACCGGAGGCCGTATTTCTACAATGCCTATTTGTAGATAAACATAAGAACGTAAGTTACGTTAATATATTAGCTAATATAAATAAAGTTCCAACTGAAGAAAAGTTCTAAAAAAGAAAAAGACTTCTTGGATTTGGAAATTGGCGGGAGGACCAAAATCTGTAAGTAGTAGTTCAGAGATTTTAAAATATAGTTTATAATATCCTAAATCTACTAATGTCTCAAATCGGTCCAAGTAAATGAGTCATACCAGATACTCAGGCTATTGCAGCCATCAGAGTGGAATTAGAGCACTTTGAAAATATTGGAAAAGAAATTGTAGTAAGTTATTAAACATACAAATAAAAACAATATGTTATGACTGACCGGAGGCCGTATTTTAACAGAGGATAGGGTCGAGCTACTGGTGGAGCACATAGGCGACGGTCGGCGTGTCAGCCACCTTCCGATCAAAGTCAGATTTCCGCCATTTGTTCAAGTATTCGCAGAGCGTTAGTGAAGATGTCATGGTGGCGTCATGTGTGATCCAGTATTGACTTGTTTGATCTTGGTCCGTCAGATAGAGATCCCAGATAAAGACTGAAGTGATGAACTCGTCCACAAAGATTATGCCTTGATCTTTGGCATCGGGTTGTAGTTTGTAACAACGCTCGGCCCAGACACGGACCGGTTCCTCGTCAGTGCATGTGAATGCTTTAAGATATGCTATATTAATTGGCTAGGCGGTATGATTCGATCAGTACGAATACTTATCCATTAAATAAAATAAATCAGGTCCCAAGGATCAGCGGTAATATGCTGGTAATTGTAAGGTCCTGACGTAGTTTCTTAGAAAGATAACGGATTAAAATCGCGCGTGCACTACGATAGAACTTTTTAGTCTTTTCACGGAAAGAGTTGGTGGTTACGTTGGCATGCTCAGGTACCTATTCCAGTACTGTAGGATTCTTCAAACGGTGAATGACAACGGTACTATATAATATAATTTATCGTACCACGAATCATAGTTAGAGCCGCTGTATCGGAGTTGGGCCAAGTCTAGAGCAATGTCCCCCTTTGGGGAAGAGGAACTCTCACTATCTGTGTGATAATAGAGTGGTAATCGATGGCCCATAACCTAATCAGCCACATACTTGTCGAACTAGAAGGACTAAGCTTTCTTAGATTTTTGTATCGTAAATATAAATTATAAATTATAGTCGGAGTGAGAAAAATATTGTTGAGGCATTCAAGACAATTTGTTATTATGGATATATAGAACCTAGTTTAGGGAGTAAACCCCGGTTTGGCATGTAAATCTAATGAGGCTAACTCAATAGGTCCTGACGTAGTTTCTTAGAAAGATAACGGATTAAAATCGCGCGTGCACTACGATAGAACTTTTTAGTCTTTTCACGGAAAGAGTTGGTGGTTACGTTGGCATGCTCAGGTATCTATTCCAGTACTGTAGGATTCTTCAAACGGTGAATGACAACGGTACTATATAATATAATTTATCGTACCACGAATCATAGTTAGAGCCGCTGTATCGGAGTTGGGCCAAGTCTAGAGCAATGTCCCCCTTTGGGGAAGAGGAACTCTCACTATCTGTGTGATAATAGAGTGGTAATCGATGGCCCATAACCTAATCAGCCACATACTTGTCGAACTAGAAGGACTAAGCTTTCTTAGATTTTTGTATCGTAAATATAAATTATAAATTATAGTCGGAGT